GCCATAATGTGATTACTGGTGTTGTGGATATTAGTAAGAGAGAACGAGGCAGATAAAAGAAGGAATTGATAGTATTGGCACTAATCTTTCAATTCCCTTATATAATATTGGCAATATTGCATTCCAATTGGCTGCGCTATCAGCCGTAACATTCATGTAATTAAAAACATGGAGAAAAAAACAGATGAAGAGAGTTATTTGTTGTCAATTATGACGAGCTCTGCGTGCTAGGAAAGCTGTCTAGCCATGTTTTTTATTTTCTTCTTTTGACTATGCTTTGTTCTTTAGTCATTATTGTACCAATGCTGGTTAATCATCGCTCAAAAATGTGGACTCTATTCTATCATTTCTTCTTCCTTTGATTTTAAGTTGATTGATATAAACTTACTTTTATTGTTTTACAATACAATACTGCTTGTTATTGCATTGATTGAGAAATAGCAATAAAATAGTATTTCCTACCTATTTGTATGTTTGTATTATACGTCTGATTGAAGAAGTAGAAAGAGAGCTACTTGCTATTCTATACGTCTAATTATAGAGGTAAAAAAAAGAGATACTTATTCAGTTATACACCAACTGAGTTCTACATGATACGCCCGATTAATTTAATAAGCTAAAAAGGAAAGATCGAATTCTCTGCCTTATTTTCATCCACTAAATCAATTGATTACAACGACCAAGTCAATGACGTATTGGTTGAAGGGATTATTAATTATGATTGTTGTTGATTGATGATAGTGTCATCTCTGATCGCAAATTCAGCTCCAGTATACATCATCATCCACTCGTTGTATTCCGTACTACCCAATTCAAGGTGTATTTTTAATGGTGCAGTGGCCTACCTATTTTCTTTACAGTTACTGTAGTATAAATGGGTGCTGCTAACGTCAATCAATAGGAAGCCTAATTGTTCTTGTGGTATCCTCATAGTTCTACATTGTAATACCTCGTCGTTTCTCTCAATTTCTTCAAGCATCATCATTACCTCGATTTGAAATAACTCATTGTGATCTACTCTACAGTACGTCTTCGCCTCTCTTTCGTCACTTGCATCCTTGACAGGATAGAATTGAAAAAGTAGTGGTCTCTTCTCTTTCAATCCTTTCTACAGGATCAAGAAGGGGGAAAGATGGCTCCTTTCCTCATCTCAACGTTGTATTATTTATTTATTTATTTCCATAAATGATTGTTGAATTTCTCCATGTCATTGAGTCTAACATCTCACCAGGAGGACATCGATTGTATCCTGCTGATCAAATTGATTGTTTAATTTTGTACTGTCGAGACTTTATGGTAGATATTGATTGATCCTATTCTAGGAGATGCCGCATCACTTAGTTACATTGACGTCATAAAAGCGATTAGCCATGGCTTGCAATAGTTTCCTGTATGTGTAGCATGAATGTCATTACTAGAAATTGAATGGGGATAGTAAGATAATTGAAACAAAAAAAGCTAAACAGGGCTAAGTACCTATTGGTAGTCATGAAGAGCTAGTGAAGATTCTCCCTTCATTTCATCTTGGTCAAAAAGCCTAAACATTGGGCTAGTATTGTCCATCAGCAGAGCGGGTGCGGGTGCCTATCCCCATATTGTACATCCACTATGGGCTGCACAATATCGACCATACTAGTGGCTGCATACAAGATTGAATTGATCGAGTTGAGGTAGTGCAATCCACGATCTCCAGTACTGTAGAAAATGGAGTAATCCATGATCTAGTAGAATATTTATTTATTTATTTGCATAATTGAGCGTTAAAAGTAATAATACAACGTTACTACGCGATCGCCATGGGGTCAGGAATGTCCTTTGCATACAGTTGGAATCGTCTCTACTGTGCAACGATTCGTCGTGGATATGATAGTATTATTCCATAGCGCATGCAAACTACGCGCCATTTATGGCACTCATTTGTAGTTTCCATCTCGATCAAAAGCATGCTAAATGTACCATTTCAACTTGTTGGCCAGGAAACAGATGCAGTTTGCCACCTGTGCCATGGCTGCCAACGTGAACGTGCAGTTGGGAATCCAGTGCAATAGTATCCGAGTGTTTTACAGTCGACCGGTGGAGAGGATCTCGAGTCTCTACAATACAGTACACTAGCGCAATGACTCTCTTTTCAGTAGTCTAGTAGTGGTTGATTGGTTTTTCTTTTTACCCTTGGTTCAAAGTTCAAAGTCGACTGCTGGCACGGGCTCTGTTAGTAACAGTTCCAAACGATACCAATCAACGCGGTATAATACGACTATCTGAATGTATCTATCTTCATCCAATATCAATCAATCACGTGACCCTTGGCAAAGAATGTCGACTATTTTTCAACAAGCCACCCAAGGGAACGCTGCGATCTGGCCCAACCGGGTTATCATTATTTACTTAGGCAAATACTTGAGCCAGGTACGATTACATAGGGAATTAATTGGATTGCAAGTCACTGCATGAGAGTAGAAGAAGTAGGAACCAATCTACTACTGTACAACATGAAGAAAGTACAACAATGGCAGCCAAACTAGAGCTTATTTTGAACTACATTAGTCAACCCATTTATCCTTCGCCTCGGTATCATTGCAGTGTAGTAGGTGTACAGTATAGACTCACACAGCAGAGTTAAAGCGCATTTTGCGGCCCCGCCTCTGATTGTCATTGTACAGGACTAGTAGGAAAGTTGCACGGTAGTCCATCCAGAAGTAAAGCGGCGGGTTGTAGAACGAGTAATCATTATTACTGTACACTACTGTATGTCAAATGGCGGTGTACTCTTTCACAAAGCACTGAACAAGCAATTGACATTGGTGAATAGTCCATTTCTACCGCAAGTGTCGGTGGAAATAGCCATTAAATCTATGCACAGTGTACGATTTAAATTGACGCCGCCATACATCAACAAAAGTCTTGCAATCCATTTCATTCCGTTTCATCATTACGGAAGGACGCTTTGTTATTGTCGGCTCCCTTCGACTCTAAAGTCTTGATTCACTCTTTCTCCACAGTACTATATTGGACAAGACTAGCCCAAGGCAATGGAGACCATGAAGCATTTCCATAACAACTTGGAACATTGACTGAGCTTGACCTAACGAACGGTCAACTGGTAGTAATACTAAACACTACACACACACACAGTCAACAGTAGAGGTCCTTTTACACTGTACTGTACGTAATAAAAGGGACGAGGCGCTTCCAGCCAGCCTTAGTAACCGAAGAATTTTGAATGACTTTTTCAAGTTTCAGTCTACGGCATCACGTACTGTACTCCTGTACAGTGTACAGTATGCTGAAAGTACTGTAGCCACAGTACTTTGCATTCTGGCATCACCGACGAAGAGACCGTTTGCGAAGATTGACCTGCGATTACAGTATGCGCAGTATAAGTACAGTCGGCGGCAGTTTCACCCTATCATTTACCACTGCAAACTTTTACAACTCACATGGGCATAGAAGAGATTCACTGATTGACTCCATTACCACCCTCAACAACGATTCAAAACTGCTATAAAATGGAGAAGAAAGTCTATTTTCAACCAGCACAACCTGTCTCTCTAGCGGACAACGTAACACGCAATTTACATTAGGTAAGATTAGTAATAACTGAATAAGAACCATTTTTATTTCAATCCACGTTCATGATATTAGTGGGCTGTGACAATACTGTAAGATTACTGACGAAATCTCAAGTCATCCTATTTCGTAAAACGTTGATGCGATGCTGTCTAAATAAGTAAATATGATTAATTTGGGAGAAAAGAAAGAATAATGGTATTGAGACGATGATGTACTCAAGGTTGAGTTTATCCGTACTCAATTTGCCCAATATATTTTCTATTTCCCCAAAAATGATGAACGAACGATGATGACTTTTCCATAATTCCCCTGTCGGTTTGACCTCTTCAATACATTGTATATTGTCCATGTTTGGGTGCATTCCCAATGCATACTGTCCACTGTAGTGGAGCCGAGTGCCTAGTAGACATGCAGTATAATGTACTTTTGAATAATTAATGAGTTGTCGCTTTCCCACTGTGTACAATACTACGGCTACTGTGTATCCCGCTGCCGGTACAGTACAGGATTTACTCATTGTTTCACTGTTACAGTACTGTGTGGTGTTTGTACTGTACACTGTACACTGTACACTTCAGCCTAATGCACATGGATTCCATTTTGAGAAAGCGCGCTGCTGCGTGAGTCTACTGTACGCATGGACCGCCTCTTTTCCCGGTGCTTTTTGCAGGCCGTATTGTACCGTACCGTACCAAGCTCCAGTGCATAGAAAGATTTCCCTGTAGTACTACCGTGGTTAGTACTGTGTACGAGTGCGTTCTTATGGCTCCGATCAAGTTGTTGTTGCTATATTAAGCATATTACTAACCAACAACTTGGTCCCAGTCAATACCAATATACTGTAATGTCTATTTTTATAGTTACGGCAATGTTTCTACTGGAAATTTCAAAACAGTGCTAGACTGTTCTACAAGTTTACCCACCAACTGTATACTGTAAAGGCATAGTATCTACTACCGTATAAGGACAATAACTTGATGTTTTTGTTTGCAAAGAGACAAAAAAAAAAGTTGATTTCGGTATTGACGTAAAAATATTGTTTTGATTTCTTTCCTTTACTTATATGAACGGAACTTGATCCTATCCTGTCAACATGTTGCTATGCCCTACGATAACAGCACTATTTAATACAACAGCAAATCCGAAAAGATTTAGTATCCTAAATGTTCAATTCCTGCCCTGATTGAAAAAGTATTCAAGTAAATTGAAACAAGAAGAAAAAGTCAAAAAAATTACAACCGTTAATCACGCGCAAATTAATCTCTTCTAGACGTACAAGCAAGATACTATCAAAGTGGAAGAAAAATCTTGCATTATTAACCTACCGCTGTAAAGGTAAATAAATACTGTCAATTTGATTCAGTCAAGATCCTGTTGAAGCCGTCTTGTAACTTGACTTCAATCAACAACTTAGCAAAGAGATTCCTGTCATGGGATTAGGAGATCTAAGACACGACGATTGTTCTGAATACGATCCCCTGATGTCGCACTGTTATAAAAGCAACGGTACCGAATTATGTCGATGTGATAGCCTCGGTTACCACCATCAGCTTTGTCATAATCACGATTACAATGGCATTGGGCCTCCTCACCAACGCAATAGTGGCTCCATTAGCCCAAGTAGCATTGTAGATGGCAACAGCGATGACTCCGATGATTGTAATATTAATTCTCATCAATTTACGTATCGCTGTATACATTGCCCGCATCGATTATGCAACGATTCACCTAAAAATGGATCTACAGTAAACAATAACTTATTACAACTTGAAAATGAGATTTTGCACTGTAATTTTAATGCACCAGAAATGTTATATCCAGATAACAAGCATACTAACTCCAATATAAATTACTTGAGAGACGATAACCCTAGCAATGGTGACAAGAAATTCCAAAAGTACCAATCTACTCAAACAACGAATGAGATGGATACACTATTACTAGACGACTATGTAGAAATTATAATTGACCAAAATAACTTTAGCCATCATGATAATGACCATCAAGAAGATACACCTTTAACAAATTTCAACTATGGCAACGATAGGAAACATGATCACCAAAATACAAGTGTAGAAATTGAAAAGTGCCAATCAACCCAAGAAAACGAGGAATTGATAGCACTGTTGCCAAACTGCAGCGTGAAAATCATCACCGATCAGGATAGCATTAATGGCAGTGACTATAGTGAAAGCGACAATGATGATGATGATGATGATGAAGATGTATCAAGTGACTACTACGACAGTAGTAGTTGTAGTGATGATGAAGAAGAAAATGAAGATGAGGAGGAGAAGGATGATGATGATGACGACGACGACGACGACGATGAAGACTTGTATCCTTGCTATGGAAGATTATGGAGTAATTCAACTGATAGAGCGACAAACAGTGACGAAGAATTGCGTAGTTGGAGTGATGTAAGTGATGATGATGATGATGACGACGATAACCAGTCTCCAGAAGCTTTAATTAATCACGAAGAGCAACAAGAAATATGGGAATCGTTCGCAACCAGCAGTTTGTCTAACCGTCTAACGTGTTGTACAAAATCTTTAAATAATGGTATTATCTCAGTAGGTGAAAGGTCAAAAAAAGAAAACCATCAAGATTATCGTAATAAAAATGATAGTCAGCCTGACAGTGTGAATAAGGCAACAGGCTCTAGTCGTAACGTTATTGGCTTAGATAGCAGATGTAAGTTAAAGTATGAAGAAAAGATGAAATTACGTGAAAAAGACAATCATAATTGGAGTGATGACGATGATAGTAGTAGCCCTTCTAGACCAACTCGTGTACATTTCAAACCTGGTAAACAGTTAGAGGAGGTTCATTTGATGGTTACTTGGAATTTTGCTTACAGAGCTGCAAGAAAGGCTACTTGGTGTCAGTATCGCATCGATCATATTCGATTCTTGAATAGAATTAAAAAAGTGGAAGAAGCGATACGATACGTTTTCCAACCACAACATCGTGAAAAAATGCTTCAGTACATTACATTATCAGCGCAATAGATCATATTGGATATCTAGTCATTACGATGATAATAGGTAATATTTATAGGTAGTAAAATAAGAGGCATGATATTGTACCACTATCTATCCTGAAAATTTTTTACTCCTATATTGTACATGATGGTATCTACTACTATCCATTCATATTTCCTTGTGAAAACTATAATGAACTGAGAGTCATTTTTAAAACTTTCTGTCGATATGAACATTTCTATCTAAAATACAAAACAATTTATCATTACTAGCCTTAAAATAGAAGTAGCAATTAGTCTTAGAATGTGTGAATCTTACTCAAGATATCTCGAATAATGTACTGTATGATACGAGTTATTATCCATACAGCAGTGTACGGTACAGTAACGTACTGTCTTATTTTCTTAACTGCTTCACATGCTAAGCTATAGTATCTATTTGTATGTATATTGCTACCATTGTACAATATTATATATCTAAGTAAACATAATATATTCAAGAACGTAATGAATTATGGATATTGCTTAGCTTTACACTAATAGCATACGTTGATATTCCATGTATATTCTTCATTGTACACTCTTAATGTACGCCGGTACTGTATATGAATGATATACGTAATAAAAGAATTTTTTTCATTTTAAAATTGTAGTTGCAATTAATGACTTTGTGTCTTAATAGATAATGTACGTGTTTTATCAAAGCTCAATACGAAATCAGCTATTTGCAGGTGCTGTTGCGCCGATTAAATTTCTGACTTTGCATGATATGCATCAGTAAACTAGATTGCATAACTAGATAAGATTAGATCCAGTGTGATACAGTAAATGATGTAAGATCACGTCACTCTAGCTTTTCTATTGCGTATACAATTTGATTTTTTTGCTAACGGAAAAGTGCACTAACTGTAAGTAGTCGTCACAACCTTCAGTATTTCCATAATGCAATCTTTGTACGCGTAGTCGTTGCAATTTTGACATGGCTCTATACTCTACAGCATACTCGTATAGAAGATCAGTGTGATTTCCAGAGATCAACAATAACATCCAGTTCTTTACGAATCGCATCATTTATGGATTAGTAAAGATGAATAACGCTACAACGACAACCCAACTTAGTCATTGATATTATAAAGTAGCGCTTTTGATAAGATATCCCATCAAGTTATAATTGTGCATTTATGCAAAGGCACCTATGGATCAAGCGACACAAAATTACGAGCACATCCATAAATTGCATTGTTAAATACTTTAAGAATCTGTTAAAAAATCCTACTTGAAGACCAATTTATGAGATGGAAATAATACCAGTAATTTAAAACTAAATTTCTGCGGTGTAAAAGTATTTGGAACGCCAAAACTGTTATTCGAATATGCTTTCCGTGATGAATACAATGTGAAAACAGCAATATTACTAGCCTTAAATGAAATTAAATCTCGAAGGAGTACGCAGGGTAATAGTCATAATTTTACTCGGTAACTATTTCAAAACGTGTTTCTAACGTTAACAACCGATCACATTGCAGTATTGTATTCCTTACTGTATAAATAATATCTCACTCTAAATAAAGCCAAGCTGTGAATGACTCCCAACATAAAACTACCTAATCGTTCTCCAATAAGCGTTCAAGAAAGAGAGAGCACATTAGACTATTTTGAGCAATTAATCACAGAGTAATTAAATTGATATTTCTTTACGAACTATCGAGACCATAGACAATACAGAAAATTCTCCAATTAAATATTCATAATTTTAAACATTTTATAAAATTTTAAATATGTAAGGATACGATACAAATTATCAAAGTGTTTTATTTTACTTGTGTGCTTTCGCCAACTATCATTTGCATGCATGCGTAAGGGGCAAGGAATGATATAGCAAAGTAATAACGTTCGAATACAAATAATCATGCAACGTAATGCAATGATCTTGTTATTACAAAGTCAAAATATCTTTTAATCCTATATAAATTGCTTTCTACGGAAACGATTGCCACGTACTTTATATTTATAATACATAATTTTTGTAGGTAATGCTGTCAATATTTAAAGTGTCGATCGCTTTTAGTACCAGGGTAAACTCATGCGGCTTGTGCACATTCCACTGGTATAAATTAGCTAAAACATTATTTACAACAATATAAAATTTGTTACAATTGCGAAAATGCCATTCAGAAATTAGCTAATGACATTTTTATCACTTTGGAAGAATTTTAAAATTTACAAACGTCCTTTAAGATCTTGAATAATCCCATATAAATTTTGGTAATTACTTTCGAGTTTTCGACATCGTTTCTTTAAATCTGTTGTGGTATTGACCTTATTCTACATAACGTACAAACGGATAAAAAATTGCATCAACAAATATTATAGTGCAAATAATGTCATGCACTGGTATAAGTTGCATTTACCACGACTTCATTGCTTAATATAACTGCTTCATCTTCAAGTCGTTGTATCTTTTCTTTCAAACGATGAATGTTCATATTGATTTTATTTTTTTCTACTTCGGTAGCTATGATAGGTCATTTTATGAGTTAACAGTTTGACACATTAACAAATTGGATGCAATTTTTGTGAATACCTCAAATCATACAAACCTGCTTTATACTTTAAATAGGAATGAACTACTACCAAAATTCCGGGCCATTCATCTGATATATTATCACCCTTCGCCTAAAAGGAATGCTTATCAATTTACACAGACGTTGTAAACAAGCTCATAGAAAGGAAAAACTTACGTGGCAATCAGGACACATCCACATCCCATCTGGTATACTTGATAATGGTGGATCTAAGCAGCGCAAATGGTAAACACTATTACAAGTATCACAAATAAGAAGTTCACCACCTTTATTACAAACGCAGCAAACGTCATCTTGTTCGTTAACCTATAAAGAATGTAATAAAAATGGACAACAAAAATCATTAGTACAGTGTCGATAGTTTCTGTGTAAAACTAATCTATACATATCACATATTTGAGAACGAAATTACTTCCTCGTCGCTAGAATCTTCATCTGGAAGCGGGCGTTTTCGGGGTCTACCCCTTTGCGCTCTATGTGAAGTATTGATCTTATTTATAGAATTTAAGGCCTGCGGACTTAACGGCACAGAAGACGAAATTTCATTTGGGCTAATAGGTGGACGAGAAGTTGATATTTTAGGTGGTCGTCCTGGTTAGATTAAAGAAAAGAATTAGTCCTCTTATCACATACTTATTTATGAGAACTAGTTTAAACTACATCTTGTCTAATTGTACGACTACCGCCAAGGTTACGCTTAATCAACAAAAATTTCAAGAACAACCGGTAGTGTACCTCTTCCACGTTTTAAAGGAATGCCAGACGATATTCCTTGTTGACCTTTTTGATAAGCCTGTCATAAAGCATCAATGTATATTGAATACTTTAACATGTGTCTGACCACCATCAAGAAAACAGTACACTTTTAAACTTACTTCTTGAGATGAACTTAAGCCTTGAGTTTTGCTACGCCGCTTACGTTCATCACGCTTCCTTTCGATTTCTAGGTATAAATATGTGTACATATAATTTAAGACGCAAATAATTATTCGCTAACTTTAATCGAGCTTTCATTAGTCAAGCTACATTACCACGCGCATTTTCCGGTAAAATAAGCCCTAACTTAGCCATGTACTGTAATTTCTGAACGGAAGAACGCAACGATTACTCATTACAGCAATCATTAAGCTACATACACTAGAAACATTCTATAAACTTACGGCCACGCTGTGCTTTTCCTCATTTAATCTGACGAAATTTCTGCTGGATTCATTCTCGTAATTAGTATCCCGTTCCGAGTAATTGCGATCTAATCTTGATGACTATATATTTATCGAAAGATAAAAGTACACGCAAATATCGATAATTAATTAAATGTAAAAAAATCAGTAGCCAATTGCTCGTTCGTTCAGAGATGACCAATTGCTAAGATATTAATATTTCATGGTATTTCAATTTCTGTACCAACCTCATTATTGGTGAATCCATGTAATGAATTTGTAGACCGCATTAAAGGCGAAGAATTTTGCCTTAGTGAATTAGTAACGATACCTACAGACGAGATTCCTCTACCGTCTGCACCATTATTAGTGTCACTATCATTTATAATTTTTGCTCGCATAGTATTTGCGCTTTTCATTGCATCCTTATTAGTTACCATGAAAGCCGAAGGTACGTTACCCCCATTTAAGGAGAGCGTCTGATTTCTGCAATCATCATCATGGATTCTCCTTGGTGTGCTTATTAGTTTGGGCATTGCGGGGATAACTTTCTGGACGCTATTAACGGACGTTATCAGATTGTTTTGCGCAGCATGTGGCATCTGTTGAACGTCTTGATCATTGGTGTAATGTACATTTCTGCGTAAATCAGTAATTCTACGCTTGCTTAGTAGATGATTCTCCGTTGTATACCCTATCAAGGACTTGGAGGTGGAATGAGCTTTTGAAATCAACTTGGCAGAAATATGCTGGGTTATCTGTTGTATAACAAAGAGTTTATGTCATTTTTTTGACAGATCGTATAATGATAACCTCACTTAGATTGAGTCATTTCCAAAGAATCAATTAGTATGTTACATTTTAGCTTGAAAGATTAAAGTTTTATAATTAGTACTATCTTTATATATAACATAAAATTATTATAAAGAACACCAGCTAGCAATCACTCGATGGTTTATATTTAAAACCACTAATAACATAAAGCAATCTTTACGCTTAGTAATGACATCACATTATTATAGTATCATGCTTTTAACATACATTAGGTTGTTTTATTTCTTTCCTAAGGTTTTCAAGTACGGATCTCTGTTATTTATTATAAAAAGTTAAATAGCTATAGTTAGCGAACGAAGAATCTTCAATGGACAATATTACTTTTTCATCACAGATAATACAGAACAACACCTACCTTTCAGATTAACATAAAACAGATATTCTATAGTATACTATACATTAATATTTTGGTTAGGCTTAAGACCAATAGACCTAAGGTTAGCTATACTGCACACGAAGGACACTAATGTTCTAATCGATAATATCCATTTTCAAATTAAATCATACGAAAATTTTTATTTACATACTAAAGTAGTATTTCAGCCGGGAAAACATACTATATGAGATAGTTCAGTATTGTTAGAAATTTATGCACCACGCATGATTGATGTTGCCAACATTAGTCAATAATCGCCCATAGCAATTCATTGTGACTGAATATATTTACGAAATATTACTTTTGACAGATACCATAACTGTTTATCGCATAAAATCAGTAAGATAAAATGTGTTATTATTGAACTGGGCAGGATGTACAATAAAATGGCTATGACTAAAATTTGATACAACGTTTTGCACATTTGTACGAGCGTAGTACAATTTAATACGAAACATTGTTCGGTAGTATGTCAAAGTGAATAATAATATATAATTAATTGATTACAGAGATGAATTTCGTTCTGCCATCGAAATAAATGATCGTCTACGTCTTCACCGAAATTTTTTAATTAGTCTAGAAAATACGACGAGTCTCCTCACTACCGAAACTTGACGAATTGATATATTTTTACGATCCCGTTTTGAATTAAGTCGAATGACTCTTGCAAGTATTACTCATTAGTGTGCGATTATTTATTATTTATAGTACCGAATCAGAGATTACACAATATTAAATTTCAATCTTGATTACAGAACTATTACTTGCAAACCATGGATTACTACTGCATCTATCTTTAGTTATCTATGTACAAATAAATAGTGCTGTAGTTTTACAAATTATGTTTACAGTTTAAATCATGTACACATTCATGTTTTGAGCGAATTTAAATATTTAATACACAAATTTAAGGTGATTAATAAAAGCTAATAACGGCATCTCCAACCCAGTATAACATGTTATGAAGATAACTTCACAGAAACTGCCGGACTATGTTCTTTTGTTGTATTACGCAAACTATTTGATACCTGAATATTATTTTTACTGTCTGTCATTTTCACTACCATACACTTGATCGCTTATAGCGATAAATCACAATAATTAAATTGTTAACTTGAACACAAAATGCATCAGCTACAGCATATAATTACTGTAAACTTTGCATTATCCCATTATACTGCAACAAAAACTTGTTAAAATCGATGGTCGGTCCGGGACTTTAACTCTATGGTACATTAACGAATATTCGGTATCTTTAATATATGACAAAAATTTCATATCAAATCTTGGCACTCCTTTTATATTTGTCTACTAGATCTGTTGAATTTACGCATATATAAACTAGTATTATATTTAAGAATGCATCAACGAGCCTTATACAGGATAAATATCGAAAAATTATGATGCTTTAAACTTGAATCGCTAATAAAATGGAAATGGCACCAGTGGCCGATGAAAATAGACAAGTATAGTAGTCAATGTTAGGCAGATGTAGGCCCTAGGTGGGTATTTTGAAATGTTTGTCGACATTGCTGTATCGAAATGAGTTAACAAGGATCAAGTAGGGTAAATGTCTTTTGTTTAACGAAATGAGCCAAGTTCACCTGTAGACTATAGTTAGTCCTTAGTGTTGGACCAACTGCGATACTCGATCAGAATCTGATAAAGTAGAGAAACTTTTGGCTAGCATGGCGTGCAAACAGCGCAGTGAGTCCGATCATAGCTAGAGTCTGATCATTATCATTATATAATTTTCGATTTGTGCCTATTGCAATGCCATACTGTACTCTATATTCAGCGGTGGTGTACGGTATACTATGCCATAATGAACGTTCTACGCTGATACCGTATAGTATACAGGCCGAATTGCCATCAACAAAATATGCTGCTACAATGCGAAAATGATCAAAGCCAACGCTTAAATAGTAAGACCGTCATGGCAACTAGCTATGTTTAATATTGCTTACGATATCCAATTTTCAAGATTGTTAGTCGTGTATATCGAATTGAAGTATCAAAACTACATTGCTATAACCGATAGGTATAAGTTTGAGACTCCTTTTATCTGAATAAAATAGTCAATAATAACAACACCTAAAACTTTGTATAATTATAATTAGACTTTAAATGATTTCTTATTACAGTACGACTATTTTAAAAGTGCAAAGGCTAAGTACAAACAAGTAACAAAATTTTATAGTTGAATAATCAATTATGCAATGAATAGAGTACTGGAGAAAAAGTTTGTACGTTTGCAATCGCTAGTTACTATGGCTTGAAAATGGAAATAGCTAGTCGTTATCAATCCAAATGGATTTAATACAACGATTTTATTATATTGGTATACTCATAGATTATCCAAACTTGATAGTAATGCAAATGTTACGTTAATCTTATTAGCGAATTTCAAAAGAATGACGTAGGTAGATTACCTGTTTAGAGCTAAGAGTACTTATTTCTTCGCGTATTTTGAAAATTTCTCTATCTAGCATTTCATTCTATAAAGATATCCAATTATACATATTAATATCTGTTCTACGCAAAATCAATATGACATGTTATCGATATCACCTTTCGCCTAACTTTAATGTATAGCATAGTACACACTATTATCCTACATGAAATATTTAATTATTCAGCACTAGAGTGATCATCAACATAGCATAACGAGCAAAATAGTGGGGGAAAAAATGAATAAGACTGTGACAGGAGTGAATGCAAGCAATAAAGGGTGAATCAGACTCATTTATTACTGTATTATACTCTCTGAAGCAATAGTATAATTACTAAAGTTGATTTCGGATCATGTGTATGTTATCTGACTGACGCTAGTCCTTATTGATCACTGTGAAGTTGAAATTGTATTTCTATGCGTTCATCCTATCTCAATATTGAATAATACAGACTGCATACAACTATCCATTTATTATCATCATCATCACAAGTTGAAGAAAATTAGGCAAATAGACTGATCAGCAACAGTAATTTCATTTACGTTGTACTCTGTAGTGCACTGAATACTAGACTTGATTTCTTCTCTTGGACTACAGTTATTTTAATATTGTAGTAGTATAATACTGTCTGCTCTATCATCCACTAGTAGTAGACTGCCTGATCCATTTGGTGTATTACTGTAGAGTATATTATAAGGCGATGTACTTTGACTGTTAGAGTCGGTATTACATAAGACGTCTATACCAATAGTAAACACCGTTTGCTCGCTGGATACTTGTCTATTACTGTTTCGTACTGTAGCATTAATCGTCATCTTTAGGCATGCATAGGCAGATTCAATTTCAAGTTATGGCTATCATGATGAGTACACTATTGATGCACAAATGCTATCTTGATATTGTGCAAAGCGTTGATCTTTTCACTCTATACCATACATACCTCCTGATCATTTTTCTTACGCTCGATTAAAGCCTATAAAATAGAAAATGCATATTGATACTCTGGTAAGAAATTGCACATTGTATCTTGAAGTGAATATTCGATCAAAATAGAAAATACAACAGTATGCCGATGGAGAAGAGAATAATAAAATATCTGCAATCATTTTAACACTAGTATGCAATCGCCTTCTCTCCATTATTCATGATTGGTACTGTCATAGGATTGAGGCGGGGAGATCACTCGCTACTTACGATCACTTTCTATATCTATCAAACTCTGGTATATAACCCCGTTAGCAGGGGAATCTACTAGCATTACTATTAATTAATGCAATTATCCCGAAGTCAAGACGATCAAGGCAGACTTGATGACTGCTTAAGCAATCCAATCATCTTTTTAAATCATTCCTACTTTAACGGTCCGGTATCCGATCAAATCAGCCATCCAAAGCCTACGGTATCGAAAATAGCCTATCGGCTCGATCATACCCAATCCCCTCACGCATGATGAATACGTGAGTAGAAAAGCGGTATAGTACGGCACTATCAGGATAGCATTCTTAGCGGAGGTCGTATGATCGAAGCGCTAATAAAGTACAGTATTGGATAATTTCAATGCAAAATGAGCATGATAGTACTTTCATCGATTGATGGCGTACTTTCTCAACCACGATAACGTCGAAATGGAGCCAATGCAATCAAAATTAAGCCTTGATACGAATGGAGAGTAGTCATTTATGCAGATACGATTACCTAGAAATCGTCCCCATTCGTCATCCATCGACTGGACGATGTTATGGTAATTTATTGAATTGGGCATTATTATGCTTATCATAAATAGAAAATGGAAGCATTTCTATTTCATTCCTATTCCATTATACTAGTTCTATTTAAGGAGGAAAAAATAGCCCATGGAAAAAAAATCAAAGACAATTCTCTTGCAAAGTTAACAAACTGCAATTGCAATTTTGGGGCCCTTTTCTTACAATGAACAAGTCATGTCTGGAAATGTTGAAACTTACTTTATGCTTTTGTATTAGGTGACGGAGTTGTGATTGAATGGCATCAACATTCATTGCGACGATATAGTTTTACTTCCCTTCTCGGCCAATAACTCGATGAGCTAGTAAGCATACAATCAAGCCTACTTTGAAGGAAATATTGAAGTAGGATTGTGTAGTAAAAATCGATCTAGCACAGTATCCAATATTGGATCCAAATTATTCCTCAATGGCCATGCCCGTTTTAGCCTGTGGTCATACTGAAATTGAAGTGTTTCCCTTGCCGACTCTGCTTTATGTACACGGCCGAGTGTCCAGTAGGGTGAACTGTAGTCTAGTCGACACTGGGATTGTAATACTAATCAAGTATCGGTGACCCTGTGACGTGCTTTGCGTCACCCCAACTCGCTTCACTGCGTGGTCGTCCACTTCTCCACGACTCGAGGACACAGTACGTTGAACCGCCTTACCGTACTATGTACTCTACGCCAGCCAATCGGGCTAAGATGGCGACATGGACTGGCGGGTAGTCGTGGCCGGTAAAAAGTCACAGATAGCCAAAGGGATGCCAATCAAAGAAGGCATTTCGTTCTCAGTGACGATTGTTTGGCTATCTAGGCGTAATCTACTTGTAGTTGTATTGCTAGAGTACGGATAGAAGCTACTCAATCAAATGATTTGAAATGATATGCGATACATCATGCACATTTTGTCTATTTCTACCTGCATGCGGGAAAACGTCTACAGTATTCAAACGCACAAGCTATTTGTTGAAGCAGACTCCGTATTGCATCATAAGATATGTATTAATTACTTCCAGTAATAAGGAAATAGTCATAATTTGACTACGTTATGGTAGATCTGTTCTTGATCGATAGTAATCAATTAAAAAAGGATTGAGTTTTCTTGGTGACCATATCCGATTACAAATGGAACCCCCCAAAAATACGTTATACGAGCAGTAAATGGATATACGTATTACTGTATATGAGTATATAGAGACTGTAGTTTGTATGTTAAATTGTATGGCCATTCTGAGTTTACTCGTATATGGACATAATTATGTACGGTATAAATATACTTATATTATGTACTGTATATGTTATATCCATATATATGAATTAGATAATATATCGATCGTTTTTCATATGTTACATTTTTTATCATTATATTATCAATGATTCTAATTGCTAATGCTATTGTTATGATCGTGTTGACTGAATCTGTGACTGGCTGACTATACGGCAGTCGTAGAGATTTCCCAGCAGAAACGGGCGCTTACTTATTCAGCAAAATTTTTCCAATAAAAAGATTTTTTCTTCGATAGAAGTATGTACGTATATACAGCATGTGCTGTATATTGTATTATTAATACCATAACATACAGTACGTATGTACGACTATATACTGTATTTATTCAGCGTGCGTACAGTATATGTACAGTAAATAAATATGATATACATTTCATTATACAAATATACGATACATCTATCCTATCATACACGGTAAAATAAAAATATTTTCCCCCATATGACGAATACTTCTTTACTACGCATAAATCATGACAGAACACTGTATAGCATTGTACAATAGATGGCACTCATATGCCCGTGGCTATTTTTTTTTCTTCTTTTTGCCTTGTATGTCTTTTTTATACTTTACTTACTTTTATACTTTACTATTCTATAGTAGTGCACATACGCATATACTGTATATACCATGACAACACAGTATAACTGTTTCAACGTCTCAACCTAAACTTATCAAGTAGAATATAAATCAACCATTCCAATTTGTGTAAATCCCTTTGAAGATGGGCATTGAAAATTAATATGGTACATGACGCTAGAACACTGTTGTCACGTGCCTCAGCTTTGGAATGCTCCGTGTTATTAGCATGTTATTAGAAATCTGGACCTTGACATACGTAGACTCGTATAGTGCTGCATTGCTGCATACAGTACTATACTAGATATCTCTATTTTCAAGCGAAAATTGATGGAGAAAAATTAATGTTACACTTTATACGACTGCATTATTTAGTTACTTTACTTTTTTCCTTTTGTTTTAAATACATTTAACCTTGAAGAGCACTTGATTAATTAAAGAGTAACAGTATAGAACGTCGATGTAAACAGTTTTACTACTGTACATGTACACTGTACAGTATACTGTATAGTAATATAGTACATACTGTATTATGATATTTACCGTCAATAGTTTAATACGAGATCTCCCGTCATATTATTAATGTATTCATATGATGAACTGTACGGGACGAAAGCGAAGGGATATTGGCTAATATTTAAGATAGAGTTGATCATTATAAATTATGGCATAGAAATCTCATTTTATTCAACTTCTACTTCTAGCCATCTGCAATACCGTGACACCCCTATGTGATTGCAGTCGGCAAACGAAATGTTTCGGAAGTACTTGCTTGCCAATAAAATGATGATGAAGACTACGTAGAAAAAACGTGTCGTTCTAAAAGTTGCGAATGTAAGTCCGTAACATGCCCATTGTACTATACTGTACGTACTACATTTGATTATACTTACTTTCCATTGATATTCTGTAAGTATATAATATAAAATATATATATAGAGAGAGAGAGAGAGAGTGTACATATATATATATATATTATAAATAAATATACTCGTATATATATTTATATACAGTATACATATATATATTATATATCATATATTATATTTTGTACCGCAAATTTTGAAATGTAAAAATTTAGAAAAGAAAGGCCACAATCATCAGAATTGTTGACTGGGTTGACGGCGGTGAAGATATCATTATTGGTCCAAGGCATATGACATCATTTTTTACCATGGATTTACGCGCAGTAGCCATCAGTCATCACTCATCAGATCATTAGCTACGATAGGTAATGACCTCCACGATCGCAGCCTTTGAGTGAAATCGTTTTTCCACTACTGTTCGCAACACACCACCATGGACTACTAGATGCTTCAGCAAAAGTACACAACGTATGAATTAAAACTACCGGTTTTATTCTGGCCGGAAATAGCCCATCAATGGTACTATAAATAAAAGTCTCCACTTTCGTATACTTGTGCAGTACGACTGTATGTTACTGTTTTTATAGGTGTATCATTTCTTTTAAAAATCTGTGGTATCATCAAGGACTACTCGATAAATTTTATCCTCCTTACTAAAATAAATGATACTCCACTAATTCCAACTAGTTTCACCAGGAATTTGGAAAGAAATTCTCTGAATAGAGAACTCTCAAGTTTCATGTACTGTACTGTACAGTACTGTACACTTTGGAGGGATTAGGGGAGCCCAACCTACTGTAGTCTAATTATTTTCAATGGCACCCCTTCGTTCAAAAAATCAAAGTTGTATTTCGTTGCAATTCCTGTATAATATTTATATATACCCGTAGAAGGATATCTCCACAGATATTAGACTATAACTACACGTAGAATTGATCTAGTTTGGGCCTGATTTAACTTCCACACTTCATCTTTTCAAGGTGCCATGGAAATTAATCAGAGTGTACAGTGTACAATACAAAGCCTACTAAGTACTGTAATGTATTGAACGGTACTGTAGTGGATAATCACTCGGCGTGTTACTGTACTGAAGCGAGTAGGCGATCTTCTCCAAGCTGAGGGAAATGGCTAAACGAGGTGCTAATAAGCAGTTAACGGACATGAACTATCTCAATGATAGCGATGAGGACGATGGACAAGAGGTATCTACAGCTATTCTATTTCATAATGTTGTACTTAGATGCAAGTAAAATTAGAGTAAGCTGAAAATTCTATTAGATGAGAATGTACACGTATAAGTTGATCCACTATAATCATGATCGGAGTCGATTTTAGATTAGATTAATTAAATCAATTTTAGGATACTGTACTCTACTACTCTACTTGTAAAGCGTAGTTGATGAATGATGGAGAGAAAGAAGATCATTGACATTGAGTATGCAACTCTTCTTGACCCAGTTAAACTTACCATGATTTTTAAAATGACTTAGTGGGTACTTACAACTGCTAGGCATCATAAATAGTACCCCCTGCTCGTGCTATTCGGAAATAGCTTCTGCCTTCGTGATGGAAGTGCTGCAACGGTAGTATTATGGAACATACGAGTACTCTAATTTTCTTATCGAAAAGCCAGCGGAACTGTGCCCCAGCAACATCATTGAGGGAAATTTTAAACATGATGCACTATTAAAATAGATCAAGTGTAGGCAGTGGATTATCGGCATGCTTAGCACAGGACAGTGCCTAAAAGCACAGTACGAGCATAGATATGCGTACATCGCGATGGAATAAAGTTCATCGATGTACCATTAGTATAGACTGAAATCCTGACGTTACATTAAAAAGACTAATTTTGAATAATGTTACGCTTTCAACAAAGTTCTACTCGTTCATGGATGGTAGCGTGTGTTGACTTTCACATTAGCAGTTGATCAATACAGTATGTGTAAATTAGTAGGAAACATCATCAAGATTGGTTCAAATTGTATTGAAAATCGCTCTTATCCTCAGACCACATTTCTGGGTACATCTCAATGGAGGTTATCTAGATGTTCTACACATTTATTAAGAAAATGGTCATAAAATTGCCAATTTCATGTAGAATTATCGATAGGCTAACATCATACAGGATAGCCATTGAGAAATAAAGTACTGTATGTGTATCTGTCCTTCTCATCATTTAAACCATGCATAAATGTAACTAAATAGAGCACATGCGACTACAGTGATAGCAAATCTACTAGTCAAATCATATATCCTTATAAAGAAATAAATATCCGCTATGATATAATTGATATATCCGTAACCAGTTGATGACTAATTTTCTAGAATTAATACCATCAGCAAGTGCTGTAGTTGTTTATCTAATAGCTGCATTTATTCTGTAATATTATTCTAGTATGCGTACGTAAGAGTTTCATGTATTTATTACCATCGGGTGTATGGTTACTTTCTGATGTAACACTAAACTTGAAATCAATTAATCCTAATGTTAGGAGCAGTGGAGCGCGGCTAGCAATAAAAAGTTGAAGGACCGTGTGTGAGTTATATCTCCGTCGTAACACTTGCAATCGTTCATTTTCAAAAACTGCAACGTAGTGATTACTGTATTTAATTACTGTTTTAAACAATGAATTATTTATTGTGTTATATAAATATCAATCCATTGAGTATTATCTACTGTAAATGGCTTTCTGATCTTAATCTACTGACTGTAATTTTATCAAAATACATAATCAGGATTAGGAAAGTAAAAAGGGGACGTAATGCTCCCACAACCAATAACAATGAAAATGTAAGTAACATATATGTCGTAGGTAAAGATTTCAACATGTGTCTGTCTTATCCAGCTAAGTAACATTACTTGATGGATGCTTGCTTAGGCTAGTAGAAGCGGAGCATTTAAGCTATTTTCGGGATTCAAGACGGAAAATTCTGCCGCAAAACCTAATTTCCAATCCAACTTTAAGGCTGGCGACTTTAATCCGCCTGACTCAAAGATTCCCCTGCAACAACCGTCAAAACTAAGTAAGCTATGACTTGAATCTAAACCAACAGTATATATTCATTTTTTAAATTATGCCTAAACAAAGTGAACTATGGCATGCACCGTGGCCGACAATCTATTATTAAATGATACAATTATTTCTAATTCCTTTTATATTAAACCTTAAAGTATCATTTAAAACGGATGAAACTTCTAAGTTTGGTTCACCGTTTGTAGCTGCTGATCAAAAACAATCTGGTATAGCTCTATATCAACACCATTGTCTTTACATATTATCATAACACAACGTTGCTAACGCTGTCTTGCTTGATATCTTGACCTTAGATAATGAAAGTAAATATCACAAAAAGATTGCAAGCCTGAACAGGTCTTTTCTCAGGCACATTCAAAGTAGCCTAGATGATAACTTATTGGTCGATCTTTCACCTCTATTTACTGAATATACACAATATATGAAAAAGATCGAAACGGATCGAAGTAAGGTCACTAACACCGTCGATAGCGTTGCTAAATCATCCATTGGTACTTTGGATAGCAATATCGATTCAAAACCAAGCATTACTAAAGCAGCATTTAGTTTTGTACCTACAACTTCGAAATCAATTCCGTCATTACCAACCACAACTAGTTTCGCTACTACTAATTTTCGATTCGCTCCTAGTTCTTCGGCATCAAGTAGTAGCGAGGTAAATAAACCAGCTCCCCCAACAGGTACTAGTGGCAGTGGTGATACAGCTGGAAATACAGGTGAAGAGTTTGCACCGGAAGGATTCCTCCCAACTTCTAAACCATTAGTTACTGAAGATGATGCAATATTCTCTGCCCGGTGTAAATTATTTTATAAATTGAAGAAAGATGATAAAGACTGGAAAGAACGCGGCGTAGGAACGATATATCTGAAAAAAACTGAAACGAGCGGCTTGCAATTAGTCATTAGAAATGATTCATCTCTAGGAAATATATTGCTAAATATAGCAGTATCGAAAACATTTCCAATGTCTATCGTGAAAGAAAAAAATCTTTCTTTCATTACTGTAGCTAATCCTCCAATTGATCCGAAAGATGTATCTACTGACCCTACTACATTTTTAATGAGACTAAAGTCAGCTACAGATGCAACATCATTGCATGACCATATAAAAGGATCTGCTTGAAAAAGATGGGCCTTTTTTAGTGTTATCATTTTCCATCATAGTTAACCGCTGCGAAACGCAAATATCTGCTACTGGATGATTAGCAATCAAGTGCTGTAGCTGATTTAACAAATTCACGAAGTAGAAAATGTAATTGCCAACGTAATATTGAAGATCGATATAATTTATGCTGTAGCATGCGTCTAAAGTATTGAAAGAATTCATATGTACATAAAATCCTGTAGAACTTATTTGGAGATATTAATCAACACTTGATAGCAACCAAATGGAGTAGTCAAGGCGTTGTTTACTGTATGTGATTAGCCTAGAATTACTTGTTTTATTCATATTTGTGAACGAGTAACACGTTAATTAGATTATCAACAACTACTGAAGCAATGATAACTTTAGAGATGTGGTAGAAGTAGTCATTTTGTTACAGTCATGATCATTGTTGTTATTTTATTCGTAGCGACATTTTATATTCGATTGAATAATGCATAAAGTGTTTTATTGCTAATAATTTTTAATTAATTTGTTAAAAATGAATAAAAATGAATTCATTTCAATACATTGGGTTTGAATTCTACGATTTTCATTGCGATATACAATCACCAGAAAGGCAAGTAAATAATCCATTATGATCTAACTAACTATGGTGATTTATAAGGTAGAAATTATATCGCACTATAAAAGTAATTGTTCATTATTATAAATCGATTACTTTTTTAGGTTGTTACCAACAGCTTTAGTTACCCGAATACCGTTTTTACTTGATATGATTCCAATCAGACTATGGATTTAATTATTTTAACCCTCTATAGCGTAGTTTATAGAAGATCCAAAATTATACTATACATATATAGCTATTTAAACAATACTAACGTTAATTAGATAGAATTTTAACGCGTTTACAATAATATACGTGTACAGAATTGACCTATTATCGTTTCTTATCAGCTAGGTATAGTTGCAATCGTTTACTTCCAGGGTATTGATAAATTATAATTAAAGATATGATAGTCGCAGTTACGGTCTTGCATTAAAGGGAAATTCAAACCATCATACCTCAAAGATGTTCTGTATATTTTTCGTTAAAGACGAAGAAATAACAGTCATTATGAATAGCATTAAGTTAGGAATCAGATATTTATAGGAAAATCTATCCTTAGTAGACTGTAATCTGTAGCATTCAAGAATCTTTCGCATAAAATCATTTACATGATAATTACCCGAGCATAATGAAGAAATTCATCTCAAGTTTGATTACAACTGCCATAAAACAGAGAAATTACAAATAAAGTAAACTAATAAAATCCATCCAACGCACGACTTCGCAAATGCGTACCTTTATACTCTTGGATTATAATCTAATGCAGAAGTGCTAAGAAATGTTATGCTAGAGCAACTTTTAAATCTAATGGGATTATCCCATTTCCTACTATCAACTATTTCTCACCTACGAGGTCGTATTGGTAACTGAAATCCTAATATAATGATTATTGGTAAAATTTGCTTTTAAAAATTTTATGTCATAATATGTATTGTCGTTAAATGTCTGCCTCTTCCAGTAACTAAAATTAATAATTAGAATAAATTACAAGATGTTCAATTTAGATAGGAAACTGTTTAATCATACTAATATATGATCATTAATGATCATCAGGCCAAGTTGGATAGATGAAGAAGGAAAGTCATGCGATCGATTTGAGTTGATGACTAAATAGAGTCCATACTATCTGTTGCAATATCCCATTTCAGAAGGTGATAGGAGCAGTTAAAGACAAAGTACCAAATAAATATTGATAACGGAGCTTACTCATCTTTTTTGATATTTCGCTTTTCCTTGATGTGTGAATAGGATAGACTATGAGCTACCTGTAATGATCGATTTTTGACAAAATGAATTATACTTCTTTCAATAAATTTCACTTTTGGCAATACTATATAATCAATCTTTTCTTGAAATGGCTAAGGATAGCAATGAAGCAAGATTCACTACATACTATTATTAGCAGCTTATATATTATAAATTCTTGCTATATCATTCAACTTTCTTGAAGAATTTGCACCTGATCATAAGAGTTTATCAGGGCTAGGCTAGATTTCTTTCCGCCATCTCTCAATAATAACATTTAATGATAGCTTTAGCTACTCGTACATTACAGAATTTGAGTAGGTTAGCTATCAATTTAGCTACTTTACCGTGCATATAAACTAAGGAGTATATCAATTAAGCCTAAATTATGCCCAAAAATGAAATTAATCTATCCTGATTAGGATTGAAATCGTTTATAAGAATATAGAAAGACCATTTTCTGATTTATATGAACTAATTATACAATTAATCGAGAATGAATAAATCCAATCAAACAGATTAGTCATTATCGAACTTACATTAGGGAAGAAAAGAGTCTATTACAAGTCACTATGGGTCATTAATTATTTTAATCAATCCCATTTGAGTTAAGTAAAAGAAAAGACAATTAGTAGATCTGAGTGAAAATCTGTAATATTATGCTTCGATTTAGTTAAAGGGATAGATTAAACTACGAACAGTTGATAAATATCTTAATCAATCAGGCTAGAAAACCTCAATGGCGATCGATATTCAACAATGATTTATGTCAAAAATACAAATTGTCAACATTTTATTAACATAATTTCATTTCAATGTGTGCCAACCAATTTAAAATGGATAATAATATAACTTACAGATGTAACACAAGAGATTAAAAAGAAGAAATTTTAGGGAATCTTTCAGAAATGACTAATGATGTAAAATGGTTTTGATTGATAATAAATTAAATGGATGATATCGAACCAGTTAGAATACAATTAGAAATAATTACTGTAATTAATATACCACGAAGAAAATCTTGTCAATATTTTTTCTCATCCTTGTTTATCCATCCACTGATGCTTAAAACTTGAAAGTTAAGAAATAGGGTGAAAAATCTTTTGCATAATACTAGATGACTTTGAAGTTCCTCATTTTAGAGGCTAAAGGGAGTTAATTGATTGGTTGAGGAGCGAAATCGCTGATTCTGATAGAAGAAATGTTGATTCAAATGATAATTTAGTGAAAGAAGATATAATTTCCAATGAACTTATTCTTGATATAGATAAAACATTTCTAGGCTGAGGTTCAAATATTAATAAATAATTCTTTAATATATTTGCAAGGATTTGCTCCGGATGAGCAAACAAATAATACTATGATCCTTAAACGAGTAACTTTTAAACCCATTTACGTACTAAGAGTTTCGCGATAATTTTTATTAAATATGAAGATGGCCAAAACACTCAATCTTGGTAGGACAAGCCATTTTTATAGAATCCTGAGAATGGCGAAAAAGTGATTTTAAGACTTGCTGACAATCTCTTACTCAATACTTAATCTTTTGATAGTTATAAGGAGATGATCATGGATAAAAGGAGAAAGGAAGAGTTAACATAGCAAATGCTGAGACTTATACATGCTGCATACTTCGACGACTGGATTGAACTTTTGCAGCATTGTATTCAACTAATCGAAAACTCTGAACAATTAAGGCGATACTTTGAGCTAAACGATGGAATATATCCAATATTGGTTCCAATATTAATTTTATCGATCTTGTTATATAATGGAAGATATTCACGTTAAATTCAAGACAATCGAAAATACCTCGAGAGCAAGTTGTCAAACAATAATTACGATTGCCTTTGAAAATGGTTAAAACGATTCTTAACATTAAATTGCGAACTAGGAACCTAAAAAGATCTCGGCCAAATACCAATAAAACATCCATTGCAATTTGTAAAGCCATGAAAACAGCACCAGATATGACCTCTAATTTGGCTCTATTTATAAAGATTGAAAACGGAGGAATAGAATATCAATATTAGGAATAAAAAATTCACTACTTATACCGATAAGCTTGATAAATGATAAATAATGTTTATTCCATTTCAAGCTACGATAATATCTACTCAAAACCTTAAATACTAAATGGAATAATTCTAGGATGAAGACTTATAATGTTATTGTAATCTATGGCTGTTGTAGTGTACGTATTTTCTAATTTAATATTTGAGTATTTAGAATTTATGCATGCAGTTAAGATATTGAAGGCATAACAGTATGCCAAATTCTAGAACCGAGGTTGCAACAAGATCGATTACAATTAGAATAAACTATTAGTTTGTGCTGGAGTAACTTTTACTGTCCACTATTTTAAAACTGAGTTTGCAACAAGACTGACTAAAACTAGATTAAATTAAATATCTTGTGATGAAGCTACTTTAACTGCAGCGTAATTTAGAACTGAGCTTGCAACAAGACGGACTAGAACTAGATTGAATTAAATATCTTGTGATAGAGAAGCTTTAACTATAGTGTATATCAGAACTGACCTTGCAAACAAGACTAACCAGAATTACTGTAGATTAAACTAAATATCTTGTGATAGAGTAGCTTTAACTGCAGTGTATTTTAGAAGTGAGCTCGCAACAAGAATAACTAGAATGAAATAAACACCTTGCGATAGAGTACCTTAAATTGCAGCGTATGTTAGAACTGAGCTCGCAACAAGAATAACCAGAATTCGATTAAACTAAATATCTTGTGATAGAGAAACTTCAACTGTAGTACATTTTGAAACTGGGCTTGCAATAAGGTAGGCTAAGAGCTGATTGAAATCATTCATTCCTTACCTAATTGCTTCTTGTTTCTCAGCTAAAGGTATTTTCTGCTTTGATGTCGGTTCTTTGGTAGTAGAGGGATAATCTATCCTCTGATTATTACCTCCACTATCATCATTATGAATACTTGGTGGAGAAGGCATTTTTTGCCAATTGGCTGTTGCGGGTATAGGAGATTGCGAGCCTTCTTCTTCACTCATTGGTAGATAGGATTTTTTACTAGCCTTGCCAGTAGGTTGAATAAGTTGGCTTTGATTACCTGGTTGGCGTCCTACCACCGGTTCAAAATTATAGGGTGGCCGTTCATCAGATAGAACTGGAATATCGGATCGACTACTACTACTATGTCTACTCATTGTCGTTGCTAATTGCATCTGGCTACCATGAGTGGATGAATGATCGCCATCTTGTTCATTGTCCAGGGTACGGCGACGATCAGTAAATGTCATCACGCCATCATCACTTTTTTTACTGCTTAAGCTTACTTTTAATCGATTGGTTTTAGGTTTAGGTGGTGGTATTGGATTGATATCCGCCGATTGACTGGATGATGGCTGAGGATGACTTATATTGCTATCAGTTAATGTTTTCAAGACTTGACCCGTTTGTAGATTGCTCCTCAATTTACTTCCACTACGATCATCATTATCCGATAATCCTGGTGGTTTATTTTCGGAAATACTATCCCAATCGGAACCAGATTCTTCTGAACTCATCATTTAACAACTTATATCGGTCAGAATTAAAACCAATTGACAAGGAAGATGGCGATACCAGCGAAGCTAAAGGAAAGGTAAAAACAACAACAATAAAAGAAAATACGTCAACAACATCCTCTCTAATGTATTATTAATTGATGAAATACCATCTATCCAATAATAATATTATTTAAGAGAAAAGAAAGCAGTGAATAATCATAAGATATTGAGATATAAAATATAAAAACAATCAAAATGATAGAATATTAAAATAGGTAAAATAGATAGTAGCAGTTGAGTGCTTTCACCAAATAGTTTAAGGAAGGGATCCGGTAAAAGATGGATAAATAGAAGTTGTGATACAAAAGTTATTTCCAATCGAGATAGTGTTGCAAAATAGTTTCAAATGGACCTCCAAAACTTTTACTATTAGCATTATTTATGAGTATAAAATGACAAAACAGGATATTTTTCTTGTAAGTGATTGCAACACGATTATATGCATGCTAACGGAATATAATAATGTTAACTGCAGTCTTTTCTCTTAGTAAGCATTTAAATAGCATGGTAGGGCAAGACAAGATGAATATGGATTATAATTGGGATACAAAATGCTAAACTACGTTTAGTCTATTGTAGATTTATTATTTACAGGCCAAATAAGCGAGCTCGGTTTACTTGGAATATGAAAATATCGGGGCGAAATAAATATTTCCCGTTGAGTATGTATAAAATATTTCCAATTGAACTTCACAGTCTTCTATTAGCATTATGTCTTGAGCATAAGATGACAAGCAGATTTGTTGACAGTCCAAATAAGTGAGCTCTCTTTACTATGGGATATGAAAAAGTTGGGCAAAATTAATACTTTCCGGTGAGTATGTATAAAAATATTTTCAATTAGAACTCCATAGTCTAATAACTGCTAGTATTATTTCATGAGCATAAGGTGACAAAACAGAAGGGGGTAAATTTATAATATTTATTTGTAAGTAATTGCAAAACGATTGCCTGTATGTTAACGGAATGTAAAAGTATTAAAATGCGGTTATTTTCCTTAGCTAAATGTTTAAATACCATAGTAGCACAAGATAAGAACATTGTGGATTGTAATTAGGATACAAACTCTAAACTACATCTAATGTCGATTTATTGATAGCTCAAATATCTGAGCTCCCTTTATCTGAAATATGAAATTGCTAGACAAGATCAATACCCATTTATAATTTTACCTAAATGATGCTGCTCTTCTAGTAAGTTTGCTTCTGGTATCGTTGAAGAGATTCAATTTTGTCTATCTAATCCGAGCTGAAAGACTATCTCGAATAATAACTATACCTGCAATCTTATGTCTCTTTGTAATAAATATAGACGAATTGGGATATCTTTTCAGGGAACTCATAATTCTCAAAATAACGCGAACTGGAAGACTATATCGTACTGCTATGAAGAGTCTACAAGTATTGATCCAATTCAGGACGAGTTAAGTAAGTTAATAGCCACTTAAGATTACCCTCTATCCTCTGCTATCCTTAGGTATACTTCAAAATATCATCTAAACGAATCCGCCATTGAATCCATTACAAGAAAAATAACCGACTTTGTTTATAACGTTCAATATAATCATACGTTAAATGAGACTGAATAGATTGATCATCTCTAGGTTTCCATTCTTATTAGCAGTAGGTTAAATTGATTTAGCGATCTTTTATGTTGTTAATACGTCGAGTTATGGAATTAATGCCCAAAAATGTTGAATTCAATAGTTATTAATTATTATCACCATCATTGTCAAGGTCAATAAGAATCGATTTTGTCTTTTTACCCCTTAAATAGATTGCCAGGGGCTACTCTACAGTACTTTTACTCTTAGCTGTATGCACGATGTATAGAGAGAAGACAACAAAGAAATACAGCTAATAACTTCCTCCGTGTTATTTTTAAATGCCTAATAGAAAAATGCGGTTAATAACTTCATCCATGTTTGCTTTTCGATATCCGATATAATCGATACTACGACGATTAAATCATTTCTTCTTCAATTTGCTCTTCTAGTTCTCAGGGAAATGTCGAATATTAGCCTTTAGTCTACGCAAAAGTTTTTACTCATCTGCGAAGGATGAATATCTTTAGGAAAGTTAGCCTATACATGGCCCATCATCTAAAATCATTTAGCAGTTTCTTAAAGTTAATACATTTGAGATAGCTACTTATGTCATTTTTCTATTCTAAGCGACCAATTATTCCTGTCATTAGTAAAGTGTTCCACTTTATTAGCAGATCTATCTTCTATTCCTACATTGATTTATTCCAGTTAAGTGTCTGTACCGATTGGGAAGTGCTCACTACTTTCATGCTAAATTATTCCTCTATGAAAAAGAGAAAGTAACAGCTAAATAATTTTTCCTTGCCTCCTTTATTAACCTTCTTTTAAATAACCAAGCACTTGCTACTGCTATGTATATAGTTTCATTTGGATGGAGAAATGTATCAAATTTTGTTCGTTTTTGAAGCAAAATGAGGAGATAGATACATTACTTGATATGGAGATTTAGCTAAGCAAGATCATATTAATTTTACAACACTCAACGATCGATTTCATTGAAAAAGTAGCAAAGGTATAATCCGATTAGGTTCTACTGAGTTTAAAATGATGTGACAAGATTAACATTGAAGGAAGAATTAAAACTGAAAGATGTTGATGAGTTCAACCACAGTCTGCAACGACCTTGGATATAAAGCAAAAATCATTTCGGTTACTTATAGACGTCAGCATACTATCAATAACATTTAATCCTATCTTCTTCAATGCCAATGAATCTTATCGTCATCATTTCTATTTTTTTGATACATCGAGACGATGATAAACTGGATTGTAGATAGAAGATTTTCTTTAGTTAATATTATAGTCACTATGAATAAAATTAAGATACAATGAACTGCTCTCATTTAAACCCAAGATATTGGATACCGACGATATATATATATGTTATGTTATGTTATGTTATGTTATGTTATTATGTTATACATTAAGAACTCAGATTATTTACAACTATCCAACCCGGAAATTATCCATGATGGAGAGGCAGCTCCATCTTAAGAGGTATTATTGATATTTCACTGGAATGTTCAACACGATTGATTTATTCTAATTTATACGGTAATTATCCATCATTAATTTGGATTATAGACAGCAAAGATAGCATCGATTCAAGATAAAAAAAAGTTCGATTAGCTTTCAAATATTGACGTGAGTAAATTCTAATCAAGGCTGATCGCATCAATCGTAATCGATAGTAAATAGTTGACCATTGACACAACGAGTTGCGGCAAAAGAGTAAAGTTAAATGAAATAATGCTAACAGAATTGAAAGTTTCTCTGTATGCTGACAAAGATGAATTTGACTGTATGTAAAATTAGGGTTAATTGTGATAGTGGCAGAATTAAAGCTCTAGAAATAAACCGATGCTATCAATTTACTTAATGAGTGGGAAAACTTTCTTAGCGGAATAAAATCCTTTAAAATTAGCCAATAAAAGCTGAGACATCGAATTCACAGTTGAATACATAACAAGAGAGTGAGAAAATTTTGAAATAAATTGTGGGCTTATTTTGCGGAGAAAAGGGTTAAAGAATTTTAGCCAAACTCAATGTTCTCTGCTAGGTTAACATCGTGGCAATTTATATTAACTCCAGAAATGAATAAGTGGAAAAGAATTCATATTGTCGACAGATTTATTACAGGGGGTAAAGTATTTTAATTATTAACTCATTGTCCAAGACTAGAACCTTTACTCGAAATAGAATATTTCTTTAATAGGCGAAGAATGGCACCAAGAGTGATTTTTACTATCACTTCAGTAGAACATTGTTTCAAACGGATAAAAGAAAGGTTTCTATCACGAATTACAGATTGAAAACTTGTACAGATTAGCGTCTCGGATTCAAGAATGAAGACCAATTATACGTAAATATATTATGAAGAACGGAGGATTGAATTTTTTTAACTTAAAACATGCTACTCTTGACCATCTTCATCCCCTCATTATTGAATAAAGGTTGGAAAGAGGGTCGTCATGATAGCTGCCGTAATTATATTAGAAGTTGTTGTGATCTGATATAGTCTTAATTAACGGTAAAGACATTATCACTTATCATCATTCTCTATGGCAATGTATCAAGATTGATTATTTTGCTTGACGCAGCTGATTTTATTGCTTAGTACTTTCATCAGCTATATATCAAGGTTTATAATAGATGATTGTAGCTGATATAACGATGGGATGAGAGTAGCTACAATCTGATGTATTAGAGATAGTGAACATTTCTAATCATCATTATCCACCTTAATTGACCTAGATTCAATATTAAACTAATACGATTGATAACTACCATCGCTATGACAGTGGCAAGTTAAATCTTCGATATTTTTTAACAAATAGAAATGACTCCCTTTAATGTAATTGCAATCAGATATGGACCTAGCTGAAGGCAATATCGTTAATAAACATCTTTAGCGATCATGTAGTCATTTGGAAATTCAACTGGATGCAACTTGTGCTATTTCTCCATGCAGCCTTCCTATATTAAGGCTTATAACGCAATACTTTTTAGGGATATATCCATCTGATTAGATAGATAATAAGCTAAGCTAACAACTCGCTCGTCTATCTTCATTATCCACTCTATTCTGCTATCGATAAGTACTTCCTGAATCGATTGAACCAAGGAATTACGGATGATATGGTTAATACATCTTCATGCAGCTAACCTCTATCAAGGCAAATTACAGTAGATAAATAATAAAATTAAGCGAACAACTTGCTCATCTATACTCGATTATTCGTTCTGTTTTGCGATCGAAAAAGTACTTCTTTAATCGATTGAATCAGTAAATTAAGAATGGGATGATTAACAAAGTCTGATAGAGAATGTGGCTGAGTTCAAATTGATCTTCATGCAACCTCCCTATATCAAGACTCATAACATAATGTATTTTATGGGTATAGATATCCAA